GAGCCGCAATGGAGGCAAGAGAGACCGTCTTCATGGTGACGATGGCAGGCAAGTACTGTGGCAAGGCACGGGTGCACAAGTCAAAGCCAGAAGGTTGTAAGACAGAACGTCAATAATACGGGAGAGCAAGGCAACAGCTCCCCTTTAAAGTCAACATATCTCGCTGGCGAGCTGCAGAGCTGGGGAGACGATCAAAGACCGGGGGGGAAAGAGTCAGGAACAGAGATAAAGACAGGCACAAGTACGAGCACGAGCACGTCACTCGAACAACATCTGTTCAGTGTCCATCTCAACTTGGTCCACCGCGTCTGCCCCCAGGTTTCTCTCCCGTCTGCCACCTGCGCCAGCCCTGTCTGCTGCCGGTCGTAACCCAATTCGGGCAATGACTGAGAAAACAATACGGACGCTGGAGAGGGGCGAAGGGGACAGACATGCGCGGGCGTGCATTGCAACACTCCTGCATCCCCTGCCTCCTGCCCTTTTCTGACTGGAACCGGCCGACGGACCCGTTCTTGGTCGATCGGTCATCCGCCGGATCGTGCTACTCTGTTGTCCACGACGCAGGTTGTCTCGGTTGTTTTGCTGCTTCTCTGCATCTTGCAGTGTTGTCTCGCAGGCGCACGACAGACTACCAGGCGCACGACCAAACGGACGCTCTGATTGGTGTGTGCCTGGTCAGTTGCGGCAGATCTGCTTCATTATTTCTTTTTCTTCTGTCTGACCAACGTTAGTCGCTCGAAACACGCCAACGCATGGGAAATTGCTCGAATTCTGGCGTACTATGCACTCTCGGTAAGATACTTGCAAACATGCAACTCTGGCGTCTGTTTGGTCCGTATCTCGAGGTGACCAGTCCAGCAAACAGACACCATACGGTCTTAGGCAGGAGGGGAATGGCGCACCTTGAGAGGTACCTTACCTTTCGTCGAACTTTCAAAGCAGCGACTTGCCGCAGCATTTGCGCTGTACCATGTTTCTTCTCCTGCGTTCATGTTGTTTCCTGTATCGCAAGGTCGTATGGTCGCTGCCGGGGCCCACTTTGTTGACGTTGGAATTCCGATCAACCAAGGAACCTTCTCGATCAAGAAGGTCCATTGACAAAATCGCTGGTGCGTTTGAAGGCACCACGCCAATATCGACGGGCGGCTGGGCGCCCATGTTATGCCCGGAGCGACCCCCGGCCCCATCGCAACAACGAACCCCTGTTTTTCGTGAGAAGAAACAGAAGAGGAGTACGACGTAGCGCAGTTGCGACGCCAGTAGCACACCTTAAGAGCATTTAGCTATGGCCCTAGAAGTCCTTGGGGGGATTAGGCGGTCTGTGTTTGTTGTAATTAGTGGGGGGATGCAGGTACGGGCGCTGGTGATCGTCGTTTTGGGCGATAGCCGATCATGAAGTTTGCAAAGAAAAGACAGGAGTTAGCTTCAGGTGCTTTTCAGTGGCGTCTTTTTCACGGAATATGAGTTAGGTCAAACCCTTCGCCGTAAATAGAAGGCGAGCACGCTTACAGAAAAAGGGCAGGTGCTATCGACACTTCTACAGCACAGGGAAAGAGGCCACCAGTCACGAGGCGCAAGAGCAGTTGGCGAGGTAAGTACGGAGCAGGAGCATATTAATGCTGTTTCTCACCTCCCAAACAAACGGGAAGGAGCAAAGGCAATCGTGGGCCATGTTGCAGGCAAGGGCCGTGGGCAAACTGTGGCGCACAGTTGCCCTATCCCGCATTTTCCTGTCTACTTGCCTAATCGGGCACGAACGGCGCGGTTTTGACGACGCCAGATACATCCCACCTGCACTTTCCCTGGTCGGCTACAACCGTACCTACTCGCCTGCCGATTCTGGGCGAAAATGTGCCGCTTCCTTCTTCCCGTTTGAGGTTTAATTGCAACCTCGTGCGGTCAAGAAAGACGATAAAGAGAGAAAGCAAATGCAAACAAAAAAGAGCGCGGCACCAATCGCATTTGATGTCGCTCTTTTGCTGCTTGTTTTGGCTCACATCGTAATCTTGGGTGTCAGTGCGTTCACGGTGTATGAAATAGCGTCGGCTGAGACAGGCTTGAAATAACCGTTATTATTGTCTCAGTTTCTCCAAAAACCAGTGAACAACAGTTCAATCCAGAGACATTTGGGTATATCACTGGCTGACAGGAGCATAGGTTGAATCAAATAGCATAGACATGCTAGGAGGTGTGTGGGCAAAAGGAAGGAGAACGTCAAGCAGCACAAGCCGTGACTGGGAGAGAAACGAACCATGTCGTAGTCAACGTGTAACAAATCGAGAGAGTCAATGACAATAGAGACGTGACTATATGCTTTTGACGGACAATATGCAATTGTTAACTAGAACTGTTTCTTAATACAAGATAAAAGTAAAAAAAGACGAAAAAAACAAATAAAATATCGACAAATAAAAGACGTTACTGTGTAGCTTATACAACGGATCATCTTTTCTGGATCTTACAATATTCGAATTAAATGCGACTAAGGCATCTTGACGACAAGAGTAGTTAAAGTTAGTAAATTGAAAAGGCATGAAAGGTGTCACCGATCGTGATCATATTCATGGATGTGGGTAGATATGAAGCCTCTTGTTTCCATTGTCCCCAGCTTGCCTTCGGTTTTGTCCACCACGCTCTTCCTTCAATAGCATTTCGCACAGCTCATCCGACACCACGGTCTCGTGTCAACGGGCAGTGCCTGCACATGTCGCAAACCGTGGGGGTACAGCATCCGGTCCGCATACGATGTACGAGTGCCCGTGATGTCTTTCTTTCACCGTCCATTCTCTCTCGTTTTGTATTCCAACAACAGACGCTCATGCACCCCTTTGTCGGTCCCCGTCACGTCGCCGACAATGCAATGCGCACCATGCAGCGGCACTCGACGCCAAAAAAACCAGACAATGCGTTCTACTAATGAACACTGCATAGCACGGACATGCCGTCAATGATGTGGTGATGTGACCAAAGATGGGAAGAAGCGAACTCGCCCCTTTCCTCTCCATTCATTCAGTCCGTTTTGTGAGACAGACGAGCAGAAGAGGCGGATACACCGGGATTGTAGTATGCGGAAATGTTCACAATTGCAGTAGTTTCCCTTGTGTCTCTTTGCTGCGTACGACATCTCCTGGATCATAGGCGCAAATACACATCAACATGCAGGTCTAGACAGCTTCTTCAGAGAATGGACAGAGAAGACAGCCAACACTTTGAAACAGGCGATACGCTGTTCTGCTGTCGCTTCTTGGCGTGGAAACCTACGGGTAATTCTTTCATGCCCCCAAACCAGAGCTGGATGTGAACAGACAAGAAGTAAGACTGAATACGGCCAAGGCATCGTTTGATCCTGTCTAACTTCTTGTTTTCCCTGCCGACGGCCTCCACCGATCGATAGAAGCTGCGCATTTGTAAAACACGTGCGGGAATGGAATGGTGGATGGAGAAAGCAGTGCCGGTGCGCTGTCGTGCAAGACTAAACGGAACGGAAGTAAAAATAGTTTTGAGAGTCTCCGCCGATGACGTCAAACGTGCATGGCATTCTCCTTGGGCACTTTCTATTCTTCGCCGTCTTTGGGGTTCAACAATGCACGACACAGTACTCCGTATAGGAATGGAGGAGTGGCAGGCGGGAGGAAACATGACTCTCCGCGGTGAAAATACACTTTTATGGTTCGCTGGCAAGTGGCAGGTGAACGGAGTTTGCTGGGCATTTTGCCTCGTAAACTTGTCGATCTTCTCGTTTAGGACCCTTGAGCTGTGAGATTCACTGCCTTGTAAGGATGCATCTGACCGATCGGCGCCAACTTTGAATGAGAGTTGCAAGATTCAGAGAACTGGCAACCTAGTATGAGTCGCTGTGCTTTGAATGGCTGCAACATGACAGATAAGTAACTAGAGAATGTCTAAAAAAAAAGCAGTGGCAGTGGTGACTTAACAAGGGACAATTCTTGTGCACATCTCGTGGTCAGATATCTCGTATTGCTCAAGACATGCGAGCCGAACCTGCAGGTGGCCGTACATTTGTACACTCAAAAGGAAAGACCCAGCACACTGGTTGGCCTGTTGCGAATCTATCCGCAGAGGCTCAGATGGGCATGCCGCGCTCTGTTTTATTTTCAACTGAGTGGCAAGTCGGTTCGCCGGTTTAAGCAATGCGCGTGGAAATAGAAGCAAACGAGACAAATCGATGTTGATGCAGAAGAGAGTCATAGTATTCGCATTTAATGGTAAAACCATGCTTCTCGTAGCTGAGGCTCTTGAGCAACACAGAGCAGACTGCATGTACAACAACGGTCCGTCCGAGGTCACAGAAAAAGCGACCAGATCAAGGAAATACGTACAGAGCAAACAGATTCCGACAACGAGAAGAAAGGTGGCCGAGGTGAACAAGTCGCACTTCGTGTTGACGGAAACCCCCCCCCCAAAAAAAAAAAAAAAAAAAATAAAGCAGCGACACGACCGTCGATCAGGCCACGCAAAACAACCGGCAACGAATACAAATAAGTAATACAACGGACAGTAAATACAAAAACATGGATATGTTCCCCACCGAATTACTACCAATGACGAGGCACAGCCTTTCTCACTGACGATCAACACTGGGATACGAACGGCGAATTACATTTTGCGTCTTGTTTCCGTGTTTAGCTTGTCGTATGCATTTCATTCCTTTGATTTTATCGATGTGCCGTCAGATTTTATTCTCTAGAGAGTCAGACGAGCACCCGAGTCAGAACCGGGTACGAGACAGTATGCACAATCTATTCTGCCAAATGAAGGCGCAGAGGCCTAAAGTATAAACGCTTCTGATGATATAAAGGGTCGCAGCCTCCATCTATATAAACCGGCACATCCACCCCTTTACCGGACATTAAAAATCCATCTTCAGACTCTTCAACCAATTCAGCATTCACATCAGCAACTACAGTCATCATTCCTTCAAGATACCCTCTACGACAATCACATCTCACAGTCTACCACCACCATCACCAATCTTCATCATGTACTTCTCTGCTGCTGCCATCGCCGCCGCTCTGGCCTTTGCCCAGACCGCGCTTGCGGCTCCCGTCAGCGACAAGGTCGCCGCTCGCAGCGACCCGCACGAGCTCGACTTCCGCACCTTTGGTGTCGAGGGCTGCCACGACGAGAACCAGGGTGTCTACACCCTCGAGCTGTCGTCGAACCACATCTGCCAGCAGTTTGTCGACCCCATTGGCAGCCTCATCGCTTCTGACAACCTGTGCACCCGTATGTCCCCCTGCCTTGACCCGACATGGTACGATTTGAAGAGCACTGCTAACGGTTTAGTCACCATCTATGCCGACACCGACTGCTCCGTGTCCCCCGTGGTCGTGCCGACCAATGTCTGCCAGAACGGTGTGTGGCAGTCGTACAAGATGGACTGCTAGACGAGTCAGACCAGCCGTCACCCGGCGACCATTTCGACCATTTTGTTCACTTGTTTTCTACTTTCTCTGTTTTTTTAGCAGTTTGTCGAATCAGAGCATCTAGGGGATTTCGGAGTTCCTGTACATATGGGGTACACAGGGTAGACATTCATTTTCTGGGAATCGGTTTTGCCAGGCTGGCATTGTGTTGTTCTTTTATTGCATTTGCATCTCGCACATTCATTTCCTCTCCATTGCACGGGCTGTTGAGTCCTTCTTTCTCACGCAGCACAAAAACGTCATAGCCATTCCTTCTTCCCACAACTGGGTATAATTCATACACACATTATCTGCATAGTCGACTGCATATTTACAATCGACATCCAATGCTTATTCTGCCCTTTTTGAATCCGTCTCTTCTTCAAAACTCTGATGGGAGATTTGAGCATCTGACAGACGAGGTTCACCTTTTCCAGGGACAGATGCGCAGGCAGTTCTACTTCGTCTTTGCCTCTTCACCTGGTGCTTCGGCCTGAACAACCTCTTCATGTTCAATCAACAATTCGTCTGGTCGTGCATCAGCGGCAAGTGCATCGCCTGCGCCGGCAACAGGTGCATTTGGCACACTTGGTGCAGGGGCAGCTTGGCCTCCTCCTGTGGCTGCAGCAGGCCCTCCGTCTGCATTCGTCGCGCCAGCATTCGTCGCGCCAGCATTCGTCGCGCCAGCATTCGTGGCATCATTCGTGGCATCATTCGTGGCATCAACCGTGGCTGCAGATTCGGCGGCGCCATCGGCCCCGGCCTCGGCCTCGGCCTCTGACAGCGGCACTGGAGGGAACGCAATTCTATAGCACGTGTTGTTAGCATGGGCTGACACGTCGTAGCCTTCCTCGACCAAAAGGATGACTAAAGGCACACGTACGGCAGCGCTCTCAGGTAGGCGTCCACGTCCTTTGCTTCAAAGGTCACAAACACCACGCGGTCGATCTTGCTGCCCTGCTCGCCCTCTAAAAAGGCCCGCACCGTCGACGCCGCCAGCGCCGCGGCCTGCGGGCTCGGGAAACCGTAGATGCCGGTGCTGATGGCGCAAAACGCAATTGTGCGCACCTGCGACGCCACGGCCAGCCGCAGACTGCTCTGGTAGCAGCTGGCGAGCAAGCGGTCCGAGTCCTGCGGGTCCTCGTCGTCGTACACAGGGCCGACCGTGTGGATCACATGGCGCGCCGGCAGGTGGAACCCGGGTGTGATCTTGGCGTCGCCGGTGTCGCAGCCGCCAAGCGGCGCGCACGCCTCGTACAGCTCAAAGCCCGCCGCACGATGGATGGCGCCGTCCACGCCGCCGCCACCCATGAGCGACCTGTTGGCCGCATTGACAATGGCGTCCGCATTCATTTTGGTCAAGTCGCCACGAATGTAGACGACTTTGTCGTTGATGGTGGCGGAGGGCTGGACAGTCGTCTGGAGTGCCTTGAGGACGGGGAGAGTGACAGTCTCGGGGACGCCAAGCTCCCCGTCCGCATAGAGCTGGGTCAGGGTCGGCAGCGACAATACGTCAACAACTCCATGACGGGCGGCCATGGTGGCGATGGAGTGTCGGTGTTGTGTCGGTGGTCGCGAGTGGGGTGATGAGGATGATGGGGTGCGGAGGCGATTGGTCGTGCAATAGGTTCTGCTGGTATTGATGTGGAGTAAGGATTGTTGTGCAGTCTTTGTGAATGCGCGGTAAAGCGACAGAGGAGCAATGATTGAAAGAGGAGAAATCGTCAACATGGTCAGATGTCTTTTGCAGTCCATGTTTATCTGCTGCGGCGCACCTGCCGTGGTAAGGCTGAGTGTCCTCGGCGTCATTGCACTCCCCGCACTTGTCGATTTGCGGACTCGCTCTACTGCAGCTCCAACGCACCTTCCTCGAGACTCGACGCTTTGCGCCCAACAGCTCGTTCGCTCTTTCCATGTCGCGTGTCGTCTCCTCACAAAAGGCATCAACACAAATCACACGTAGAAATCAACAGACGGCAAAAGGGGTAAACTTTGTTTTGCAGCTTACAATAAACAACGTACAACTCAAAAGCATCATCAACGAAGAATGGCGGATGGAGTTCTCGATCCGTCGCAGCTTGACTCTGCACCTTAACGCGGGCAAGGTCAAGTGCATACAATCACGACAAAACCGGTAACGACACAAAAAGATCTACAAAAACGACAAAAAGACGAAAGGACAAAAGGACAAAAAACGTACAGCAGCGGGTATTCGCTGGTCGTCACCGACCCAACTACTAATCCGCCGATTAAAGGTTTGACTAGGGGAGAGCGGACGGGATCCCGTATTTTCCTTTATCTATGGCCGTACGTGGAATGAGGGAGTCATGTTGGGGTTGAAATAGTGAATCCAGCCCGAAATATGGCAGATGTGATACTGACTGTCTCGATTGGTAGGAGAAAGAAGACAACCGAGACAGTCAGAACGGGAACATTGACATCAACGAATACTCGATTAGGGAGAAAGAAACGGCAAGAAACGGCAGTAAAAAGCCACAAATTTCAGCCTCACAGGAGCAATGTTCGAAACGATGCCCATCTTCGGCTTGGGCTTCGTCTTGTTGCAGATGCTGAAAGAAGGAGAGTGACGTGAACGGGGCCTTGACCCAACGCACGGACAATCCGGGGCCTGCTTCCGAAACCATATCTCGAGCACGTCTCGATGTTTTCAGCTTTGCGCTAGTGCATTTCTTTCTCCTTACTCCGTACATTTGTGCTTCGTTTTCAACTGACGGATATATTACAGGTATCATAACCCCTTCCGGCGCATATTGCACAAGATGCAAGCGAACATCGACCACAGTGCCTTCGATCTCGTTATTGTTCATGACGATGCGAGCTGCTGGGGAGGAACGAACAACGTAAAAATCATGTTACAAATAACGCTCGACCGTAATCAGGACGGACCTGACGGACGTTCATCGCTTCTCATCCAGGAGGCAATCGTTAACCTTTCAACAAAAGAATGTGAGTAGAGTACGATGTCGCTTGGCAGGAGTATTTACGCAGTATATGAACCGCTGCCCCCTCGGTTACTCGACGCCAGGGATCTGAAACACCACAAAAAGGCAAAATCACTGGTTCTGGACCGTTTCGACAGGCAAGAGCACTGTCAATTTGGACAATTAGCCGGTTGAATTTCTCGTTCGCCTCCAGTTTGTCGAGTCAACCAGCTCCACAGTACCAAATTGCGGCTGGTCCCTTGTGTCGCACACACACGGGTTGCAGGCACTGTCCCGGAAGAGCCTCAACTGAAACAGACCTCATCATTCTGGTTTGCACGGACACACCTGTCTTTCCTTCTTGGCAGCCCTCTCTCTTTCTTTCCAGCACCATTTGTTCATACCGCTCATGGCGCTTTATACGCACAAAAAAAATCAAAGAGACGTCGCATTTTAACAGCCACATGTCACATCAAGACTCAGTGGCCCCGTGCTCAGGGCGCGGCAAAGTCGACCTCCTCGTCGCTTGTCACTTCGAAACGACAAAACCTGTCAAAGTGCAAGGCACCATAAAATACGAGGGAGCCAGGACATGCAAGTGCTCCTCCGGAGGCCCGCGATGATCATTCATGTAAACCAAATTCGGCTCTGGACGCACATGGGTTTCTGTCCCTCTCCTCTTCCTCTCATGTTCGTCTTTCATCGGGTGTCTTGAGTCTACCATATTTGCATGATTCTTTACCTTCATATCCAAGCTTCTGTGGCTGGACCAGCAGAGGCCTTTGAACAAACTCTCGCCCGGTAATACCAAGACCCGAGTTTGATGGTGCCTTTCTTTTCTTGTCAAAGTATCTGGCTCACGGGATCTCTCTCTATTTTTTGAGATTAATCATTATTCATCTCCTAATTTTCGTTAATATCACCATTTATTTCAAGCCGTCTATTCATCTCGCCTCAACTTTCCACAACCTAATCGACGACAAATATCACACCTTGGCACACATCTCAATTTCATCTGGATTCCACCAACATACAGATACACAGGGACTACAACCGTTTCAGAGCCGGCAGCCATGGTGATTACATCCTGAGACAGACTGCACGACCGACGACTCTGCTGGCCGAGAGAGACAATTGGGTTGGCTCTCAGCGCAACAGGGGGCCCAGAGGGACGACATCTCCATCATGTCTTACCAAGAATATGCACATCTGGCGAGGGGCCGGACATCGATAAGTGCCCGGCAAGAAGCAGACCGGCGAAGTCGGAGCGCCTCCATGGCCCGGTACTCCATGTACAGCGAGCAGTTCTCGCGAGACCGCTCCTCTGTGGCGCCTGGGTCACATCGAAGCCGGAGCGCCTCGGTCGACCGGCCATATAGACCGTCGCACGCCTCGTTTAGCACTCCGCGGCCGTCGCCAGCTACCTTTACGCACAGCGCAACCCCCAGCACTGAGAGCAGTGTGTCCAACGGGACGTCCAGTACAACGACAACCAGTTCTCTCAGCCCCTCAAACTCCGCGTCACAACTGGGCTCGCGGAAGACATCTTCGAAAGACCGAAAACCAAAGAGGGACACGCGCAATCTCGGCGGCGCAAAATTGACGGCAAGTTCTCTGGCACAACTCAAGGATCTGGAAAGCAATGGCGGTGATCCACGACGCGGGGCGAAGCGACCGGGGCTCATTGACGTCCCACTGCCATGGCGGCCGTACTATCTCCAACGCAAGATCCTGAGCGCCTTCTTTGCCGTCTTTGCCGCCTGCATCATCGTGGCAGAGGCTCTGCTGGACTACTCAGGACGCAATGCGGGCTTGCTCGGAGAGACAAGCACGAGTCTGCGGTACTTGCTCTCGCTGGTGCCACCTGCTATCTTAACAATAATAGCAACCCTTTGGAGTCGCGTCGAATACCAGGCCAAGATGTCTGCGCCATGGCTGCAATTAGCAAAGGGCCCCAACTCGGCCGACAAGACGCTGCTTCTCGACTATTTTTCCATCATTCCGCCCCGTGATGCGTTCCAGGCATTGAAGAACGGCGATGTCGCAGTGGCATGTGCCTCGATGATTGCTGTGCTTCTGAAGACGGCCATTATTATTTCGACTGGAATGATTTCTCTCACGGTGCTCTCGGATACGGAGCAGACGACGTCCGTTACTCTGACATCAGAGTTTGTAAACGACGGCTCGCGGCTCTCCACGATTGGCAACATCCCGCTCCTGACCATGGTCGGCCTGCAGCGAGACAACCTCACGTTTCCCGACGGCACGTCGAGCAAGTTTGCCTTTCAAGAGTTTGCTTCCCACATGTCGAGCAGTACACAGTTTCAGGCCACAGTTTCGGGCTTCTCTGGCAGTATCAACTGTGCCCCCGCGCAGCTGACACTCAACGGCATCCAAAGCCCACGAACCGGCGTCGTCCGATTCAACACGACAATGACCGCAGAGGCGTGCACAGTCAACGTTCCCATCATCAGCTCCAGCTTCAGCAGCAACAATGGTTCGACCAGCCGAACCCATGTCGTTGCTCGTATGGTCCACGCTGCTTGTGACAGTTCGTCGGATATGTCGGCGCAGAGAGTCGTTGTCTTCTTTGGCACGGCCAGCATCGATGCCAAGGCCGCCATTGGCGGCAACAACCAAACCGTTACCGGGTCGATTGACGACTCGCAACAGCTCATTTGTCGACCATCCTATGCCATCAGCCAAGTCGACGTCGTGAAGAACGGCTCATACATTGACAGCGTGGCCCTCAACGCGTCGCCTGCGCCCCAAGAGTTGTCGAATGTTCAGCCATGGGACATTGCCCAAGCCCACTTTGACTCTCTCACTGGACCAGCAGCCGCCAGCATCAGCGACACCAACTCGCCCTATTTCGCATCCTCCGCCAACGTCAACGTCGACGCACCAATGTACCTCGCCTTTGGCATACAAGGCCAGGACGATGTCAACACGGACGCACCAGCCACGCCCACTGCCGCCTATCTCGACGCCGATACGTTGCAGGCTCTCGTCCAGACCTATTTTCTACAGTATTCCGCGCTCATCGCTCACCAGGCCTTAATGCAGCCAGCGGCGATTGCCACGACGTGCACAGCATACATTGGGGGCGATCGACTCGTCGTGAGCATGATCGCTGTCCAGATAGTGACTGTGCTCCTCTCCATAATTCTCCTTTTCAACATTGTCGCCATCTGCGTGGTGCCTGGCAAAGGCTACCTGCCGCGGGACCCGCAGAGTCTGCTGGACGTTGCCGCCTTGCTGTCCCACAGCCGGACGCTTCTACAGGCCCTGCGCGGTGCCGGTGGTGCCGACAAACGTGCATTACGCAGCCGTGTCAAGATGAGCGCCTACTACACGGGCGTTGAGCCATACGATCGAGGCTCGGCAGAGACAGGAAAGGGCAACTTTTGCATCTTCAGTGACGTCGACCACCCCGAGCCAGAAACCCGGTACACGGAGCCTACCAGCGGCTGGCACCATCCCTTTGGTCTGCATCCGCTGCAGCGTGTGGTGATGTACGTGTTTCTCGCAGTCCTCTTTGCCGGCTTGGAGATTGCGCTGCGCATTTCAAACAGGAATGATGGTTTTGGGACGCTTGAGACGGGCACCTTCAAGCACTTCCTCTGGACCTTGCTGCCGGCGTTCATCGTCACATGCGTTGCCATCCTTTTTGCCACAGCTGACTTCCATGTCCGCGCTTTGGCGCCCTTTGCGGAGCTGATGAAGCCATCCGGCGGGTCCATGGTGAATATGACATCGGGCCTGCTGGACCGCACGGCACCCACGGCGGTGTACAAGGCCATCCGTATGCGGTGCTACACTGTGGCTGGGTCTTCTGCGGCCGTGGTGGCGGCGGCGCTGCTCCCCATCTTCGCCGCGAGTGTGTTCACAGCGCGAACCGTTCCAGTCTCGTCCGAGGTGCAGCTCATCACACAAGACTTTTTTTCTAACTCGACCAATCCACCACTGAATTCTTCAGCAACGTGTCCATCATGTATGGATGGCATGACACTGGCTTCGC